TGAATTTTGTCAACATCTCAGCATCTAGTGAGATGATCATGTGGTTTTTTTCTTTGAGTTTGTTTATATAGTGGATTACATTGATGGATTTCCAAATATTGAACCATCCCTGAATTCCTGAGTTAAAGCCCACTTGATCATGGTGGATGATTATTTTGATGTGTTGTTGGATTCGGTTTGCTAGAATTTTATTGAGTATTTTTGCATCAATATTCATAAGGGAGATTGGTCTGAAGTTATCTTTCTTTGTTGGGTTTTTGTGAGGTTTAGGTATAAGTATGATTGTAGCTTCATAAAACGAATTGGGTAGTGTTCCTTCTGTTTATATTTTGTGGAATAGATAGAAGAGAATTGGTATTAGGTCTTCCTTTTAGGTCTGATAGAATTTTGCACTAAAACCATCTAGATGGTCCTGCGCTTTTTTTGGTGGGGAGAATTTTTATGACTGCTGCTATTTCATTAGTGGTTATGGGACTATTTAGATGGTTTATTTGCTCCTGATTTAACTTTGGTACTTGTTATCTGTTTAGAAAATTGTGCATTTCATCCAGACTTTCCAGGTTTTTTTTTTTTGAGTATAGGTCTTTGTAGTAGGATCTGATGATTTTTTGAATTTCCTCAGTTTCTGTTGTTATGTCTCCCTTTTCAGTTCTGATTTTATTAATTTGGATACTGTCTCTGTGCCCTCTGGTTAATCTGGCTAAGGGTTTATCTATCTTGTTGATTTTCTCAAAGAACCAGCTCCTGGTTTTATTGATATTTTGTATACTTCTTTCTGTTTCTACTTGGTTGATTTCAGCCTTGAGTTTGATTATTTCCTGAAGTCTACTCTTCTTGGGTGTATTTGCTTCTTTTTGTTCTAGAGCTTTCAGATGTGCTGTCAAGTTGTTAATGTATGCTTTCTCCAATTTCTTTTTGTAGGCACTTGGAGCTATGAGTTTTCCTCTTAGCACTGCTTTCATCAAGTCCCACAAGTTTTGGTATAATGTTTCCTTATTTCCATTAAATTCTAAAAAGTCTTTAGTTTCTTTCTTTATTTCTTCCTTGACTAAGTCATCATTGAGTAGAGCATTGCTCAGTTTCCACATGCATGTGGGTTTTCCATTGGTTTTGTCATTATTAAAGACCAGCCTTATTCCATGGTGATCTGATAGGATGCATGGGATTATTTCAGACTTTTGGTATCTGTTGAGGCATGTTTTGTGACCCATTATATGGTCTATTTTGGAGAAGGTACCATGAGGTGCTGAGAAAAAGGTATGTTCTTTTGTTTTAGGATGAAATGTTCTATAGATGTCTGTTAAGTCCATTTGGTTCATAACTTCTGTTAATGTCAATGTGTCTCGGTTTAGTTTCTGTTTCCATGATCTGTCCATTGCTGAGAGTGGGGTGTTGAAATCCCCCACTATTATTGTGTGAGGTGTAATGTGTGTTTTGAGCTTTAGTAAAGTTTCTTTTATGTATGTAGGTGCCCTTGCATTTGGAGCATAGATGTTCAGAACTGAGAGTTCACCTTGGTAGATTTTTCCTTTGATGAGTGTGAAGTGTCCTTCCTTATCTTTTTTGATTAATTTTGGATGAAAGTTGATTTTATTTGATATTAGAATGGCTACTCCAGCTTGTTTCTTGGGACCATTGGCTTGGAAAATTGTTTTCCACCCTTTTATTCTGAGGTAGTGTCTGTCTTAGTCACTGAGGTGCGTTTCTTGTATGCAGCAAAATTCTCATCTTGTTTGTGTATCCAGTCTGATAGTCTGTGTCTTTTTATTGGGGAATTGAGACCATTGATGTTAAGAGATATTAAGGAAAAATGATTGTGACTTCCTGCTATTTTTGTTATTAGGGGTAGAATTATGTTTGTATATTTATCTTCTTTTGGGGTTGTTGGAAGATTACTTCCTTGCTTTTTCTAGGTTGTAGTTTCCCTCCTTGTGTTGGCGTTTTCCATCAATTATCCTTTGAAGTGCTGGGTTTGTGAGAAGATACTGTGCAAATTTGGTTTTTTCATGGAATATCTTGGTTTCACCATCTATAGTGATTGAGAGTTTTGCTGGGTATAGTAATCTGGGCTGGCAATTGTGTTCTCTTAGTGTCTGTATGATGTCAGTCCAGGCTCTTCTGGCTTTTATAGTCTCTGGTGAGAAGACTGGTGTAATTCTTTTAGGTCTGCCTTTATATGTTACTTGACCTTGTTCCCTTACTGCTTTTAGCATTTTTTCTTTGTTTTGTGCATCTGATATTTTGATTATTATGTGACGGGAGGTATTTCTTTTCTGGTCTAGTCTATTTGGTGTTCTGTAGGCTTCTTGTATGTTTATGGGCATCTTGTTCTTTAGGTTAGGGAAGTTTTCCTCAATAATTTTGTTGAAGATATTTACTGGCCCTTTAAGTTGGGAGTCTTCATTCTCATCTATACCTATTATCCTTAGGTTTGGTCTTCTCATTGTGTCCTGGATTTCCTGGATGTTTTGAGTTAGGAGTTTTTTGCCTTTTGCATTTTCTTTGACAACTGTGTCAATATTTTCCACCGTATCTTCTGCATTTGAGATTCTCTCTTCTCTCTCTTGTATTCGGTTGGTGATGCTTGCGTCTGACTCCTGATCTCTTTCTTAGGTTTTCTATCTCCATTGCTGTCTCCCTTTGAGCTTTCTTTATTGTTTCTATTTCCATTTTCAGATCCTGAATGTTTTTGTTTAATTCCTTCTTTGTGTTTTCTTGCATTTCTTTAAGGGATTTCTGTGATTCCTCTTTAAGGGCTTCTATTTGTTTACTTGTACTCTCCTGTATTTCTTTAAGGGAGTTACTTAATTCCTTCTTATAATCCTCTATCATCATCATGAGAAGTGATTTTAATTCTGAATCCTGCTTTTCCGGTGTGATGGGGTGTCCAGGGCTTGCTATATTGGGAGAACTGGGTACTGATGATGCCAAGAAACTTTGGTTTCTGTTGCTTTTGTTCTTGTGCATGCCTTTCACCATCTGGTTAACTCTAGTGTTACCTGCCCTCACTGTGTAAGACTGGAGTCTGTATTTCCACTTATCTTGCTTGTTGCAGAGCTCCTCAGAGTCCAGATGTCTCTGTGGTCTTATGCTCCTAATCTCCTGGGTGGAAGAATCCTGGGACTCAGGCCACCTCTTGGATCTGGAAATCCTTCTGCTCTGAGTGCAGTGGCTCCTCTAGGATGGCGCAGGATTCAGTATCTCCACAGGAGCAGACCAACTCTGTGTTGGCTGCTCTGAGTGCAATGGCTCCTCTAGGATGACTCAGGATTCAGTATCTCCACAGGAGCAGACCAACTCTGTGTCTGCCCCAGCCCAAAGGACAAGGCAGGGGCGGAAGGGAAGTGGAATTCCGGAGGGACAGGGTTTGGGTAGCTGCTGTGTCCTGAATGTCCCTGGTTCCCAGATGTATCTCTGGGGCTTAGGGAGTGAGATGGAGTTCTTTCCAGCTGCTCTGAGTGCAGTGGCTCCTCTAGGATGACTCAGGATTCAGTATCTCCACAGGAGCAGACCAACTCTGTGTCTGCCCCAGCCCAAAAGGCGCAATTCTTTGCAAATATAGAAAGAGCAATTCTCAATTTCATAGGGAAAAAAATCCCGGATAGTGAAAACAGTTCTTAACAATAAAAGAGCTTCTGGGGAATCGCCATCTCTGACCTCAAGCTGTACTACAGAGCAATAATGATAAAAGCTACACGGTATTGGTACACAGACAAACAGATCGACCGATGATCGACCGGCGGAATAGCATTGAAGATCCAGAAATGAGCTTGCACACTTATGGATACTTGATCTTTGACCAAGAAGCCAAAAACATACAATGGAAAAAATGAAAGCATTTTCAATAAACAGCGCTGGTCTAACAGGCAGTAGGTATGTAGAAAAATGAAAATAGATCCGTATTTATCACTTTGTGCAAAGCTCAAGTCCAAGTGGACTGAAGACCTCAACATAAAACCAGACACACTGAAATGAATATAAGAGAATGTGGGAAAGAGCCTTGAACTCATTAACATAGAGAGAACTTTCCTGAACAGAACACCAATAGCTCAATTTCTAAAATCAACAATTGACAAATGGGATCTCATGAAACTGAAAAGCTTCTGTAAGGCAAAGTCACAGTCAATAGGACAAATCGGCAGCTCATTGATTGTGAGTGGTTATTAATTGAAGATAGCTTCTTATAGTGGGAAACTTAGTAGACCATCTGTTGTATACGGCATCCATGTGTAATGCCAGATGTAATAGTATATCTAGGTTTTGAAGTAATCTTTTGGAGATAATCAGTGATTGTTATCTGAGATTCATGGGATTGCTCTTCCCATTGGAACTTCTGAGCCTTTGCATGACATCAGTCCTAAAACACTCTTAGTGTGATGGTTTGCATATGCTCAACTCAGGGAGTGGCACTATTAGAAGTTGTGGCTCTGTTGGAGTAGGTGTGGCCCTGGTAGAGTAAGTGTGTTATTGTGGGTGTGGCTGCCTGAAAGTCAGTATTCTGCTAGCAGCCTTCAAAGGAAGATGTAGAACTCTCAGCTCTTCCTGCTCCATGTCTGCCTGGATGCTGCCATGCTTCCTGCCTTGATGATTATGGACTAAACCCTTGAACCTGTAAGCCATCCCCAATTAAATGTTGTCCTTTATAGGCGTTTCTTTGGTCATGGTGTCCACAGCAGTAAAATCCTAACTAAGACACTTGACAAACCAGGAAGGCTTGTGAAAGCTAAGAATTGCTTAGGTAATGGTTCCTTCAGACAATACCTTGGTCAGATCAAAGTTTCTTGTATGTGGAAATGGATTGCTAATGATACGTTTTGTGTAACAATCAATAAAAAAACCACTTTTGCAAGGTTCTTTCAGGTTCAGTCCTCTGAGTGTTTTCCTCCCTGTTCCAAAGCCCTATTTCTTTCCTTTCCTCCTGTTTTTTTTTGTTATTGTTTCTCATTTGTTTGTTTGTTTATTTATTTGCTTTACGTTCTGACTGTAGTGCCCTCACCCCTTCCTCCTAGTAAATGAGAGATACTTAGAAACCCTCTTGACAAGGATGGAAGAGGCCCTTGGGCCTAATAACACACATGCGAGTAAGGCAAAGCCTTATTTCATTATTGAGTGTCTCTCCTTCTTCTATCATCTCACCTAACACAGAATATGGTCACATTCTGAGTTAGGGACTGGGGTTTGAGTTCACTTTTTTCAGTGTCGGGATATCATCGGGCACAGACCTATGAAATCTTGGCGCATGCTGCTATAGGCACGAGGAGTTCAGACCTATGTCAGTTCTGCTGGGGTTGGAATGTTTTGTTTCCTTGGTATCCATCATTCCCTCTGGCTCTTACACTCTTTTATACTTCCTCTCCCATAGGGTTCACTGAGCTGTAAAGGAAAGGATTTTATGGAGGTATCCTATTTAGGATTGAGTGTTCCAATGTCTCCCTCTGTGCAGAATTCCTGGTTGTGGTCTCTGTATTTGTTCCCAAATGTTGCAGGAGGAAGCGTCTTTGATGATGGTGAGCAAGGTGTTGGTTTAGAATTATCACAGAATGCCGTTAGGAATACTTTAGTGATATAGTCCTTTAGCAAAACAGTAGAATTTAGTTCTCCCATAGGTCCTTGGCTTATTTAGTCTCAGTCTCTTTGCTACCACCCAAGCAGTGTCAGATATGGGTCCCATCTCATGGAGTGAGCCTTAAATCCAATTGTATAGAGGTTGGTTACTCCCAGAAGCTTTGTGTCACTATTGTACTAGTGCATCTTGTAGGCAAGGCACCATTGCAGACGGGTTGGTGTGTATTTTTTTCCATACATCCAGAGTATCTTCCAGTGCCATGAATATCAGTCCACAGGGGTGAAGACTCTAGGTAGCTACCAGCTCTACTTCTCTGTGATCAATGAGTAATACAGCTATTGTATTCAGAAATAAGGCCCTACCATCAGTTTTTGGAGAGTAAGCAATAGCCTGGAGACAGGCTGGATTATTTGGGGGTTTCCGTGGAGCCCTTTTGGCCAACAGCTCAATTATATATAACCCATTCCTAGCACTGGAAATTTCATTTGGTAGCAAGAGATGGCCACATGAGATACCATCTCATTTGTTATTTGCAATTTCATTTAGATCATCTTCACATCTGTATACATTTTAGGAAGCTGCTACTGTATTATGTGTCCATATAATCCCTCTCCTTGTATTCCTTCCTCATCCACATTTATTCCTCCCATTCCAGTCCCCTTTCTCCCATTCATCCATAACTGTCTATTCTATTTTTTTCTTAGGGTGATCCAATCCTTCCCTAGTCCTTTACTCTATAGCTAACTTCTATGGATAAATGGATTGTAGCCTGCTTATCAAAGACTTAACATCTAATATCTACATACAAGCAAATGCACACCATGCTTGTCTTTCTGGGTCTTGGTGACCTCATTTAGGCTGATTTTCTTCAGCTCCATTCATTTAACTGCAAGTTTCATAATTTCATTTTGTAAAGGTTACAACACTACATTCAGTTATGTAAATCTAAAAGAAACCTTAATTTCTTCATCCCCTGATAGCCACCTAGGCTGTTTCCAATTTCTGGCTTCTATGATTAAAGTAATAACAATGGCAATAAGCAATTGTCTCTGTTGTAGGATAAAGTGTTCTTTGAGTATATGCTAAAGAGTGGTATAGCTAGAGCTTGAAGTATATGTATTTTCATTTCCTGAGACACCACCCACACTGATGTCTCCAGTGGCTGTGCAGGTTTGTACTCCCATCTGCAGTAGATGAGTGTTCCCTTTATTCCACATCCTTGCCAGCACAAGCTGTTGTTTGTTTTATTGATTTTGGCCATTCTGAACTAGTGTTAAATGAAACTTCAAAGCAGTTTTAATTTGAATTTTCCTGATGACTAAGAATGTTGAACATTTTTAAGTGCTTCTTGGCCATTTGATTTTCTTCTTTAGAGAATTCTGCTTCAGTCTGTACCACATTTCAAATCTTTAGTTGTTTCCTTGATATCCATTCTCTTTAGTTCTCTATATATTTTAGATATCAGTTAAGAATATATGTAAAACATGGATATGTAGTTGACAAAAACATTCTTTTCTCATTCAATACATTGCCAACTTTTTTTTGATGGATGATGTCCTTTGCCTTCCAGAAGCTTTGCAGTTTCATGTATCAGTTGTTGATCTTATTGCCTGTGTTATCAGTGCTTTGTTCATGCAGTCTTCTATACCAATGTGTTCAAGGTGACCCCCACTTTCTTTTCTATCAGTTTCATTGTATTTGGCCTGCTGATCTATTTGCAATTGAGTTTTGTCTGGCATAATAAATATGAAACTACTTGGATTCTTCTACTTGAAGCCATGAAATTTGACTTGCACCATTTATTGAAGATGTTATCTTTCTTCAACTGTGTACGTATGGCTTCTACATAAAAAAACAAACAAACAGGTGTTTAATATATAACACATATAACATATATGCTATTTCATGAAATATGTATTATATATACATATCACATATGTATATGTATCTACATATGTATAATCAAGCATATAATATATGTAATATATACACACATACACTATATATACATACATGTATATGAATGTACACATATACATAAATGTATGCATACATACAATTATACATAATATATTTAGTATTTTAAATGATGCACTTGTCTCTGTGACAAAATATTTGAGGAAAAAACCAACCTCATAGGAGGAAAGGTTGATTTGAGTTCATGGCTCCAGAAATTTCCATGATCACTTGGTTCACTGTTTTCTGGGCCAGTGGTGAGAAACTTCAAAGAAGAAAGATGCTTATGTAATGTAATCATGAATGTGAGAAGGAATCAGGTCACAGGCAACATATGCCCTTCATGGTTATACTTCTATGACTTGCTTTCTCCAACCACACCACACTTCCTTACAGTCAGTCACTCAGTAAAAACTTAGTATATTGAGTGTGTCACCTCCCTCATCAACATTATGCCTAGATTCTACCAGCAGGGTACTGAGCTTGTAACACATTAGTGCCTTGAGATGGCCACTTCATGTTTGTACCATATCAGTACCTTATTATGACCTCTAAGGAAACTTTTACCTTCCCGTTCCTTGGAGAATGCTGACTTTCACATTCATCTAAAGGGAGCGGTCATTTCCAGTTTGACGCATACGCCAGAGGTCCTTAGATATGGAATCGGAACTTAGGTGGTAAGAATCAATGTAACTTGCCATTTTTTTCCTCTTTAATCATTATATTTTTGATTCTCACTTTTTTGGAGCCTATGTCCTTGGAGGTTAAATAACCTTTAAAATACCTTAGAGCTCTCTAGAAACGTGCCTAAGAATGAATTAAGTGTTGATGCTTTGCTTTGGAATCACAAGTTGAGAGCTGGGAGGTGAGGGAAAGGAGTTGTAGTAGGCAATGTAAATCCAAAGAACTGAGGTCTTGGAGGACCAGCTGCTGCTTCATAACAAGCTCCATTGTAGAGTAAACAGCTGGGAAGTAGAATATACTCAGTCCTAGAGACTTCTTGGAAGGGCTGTCAGAAAATTGCATGGTCAGGAGGTATTGAGGTTTATACATGGGATACTCTAAGGACTCCTGCATTGATGACTTGGTCTTCAATGTAGCAATATGTGGAGGTGAGGCCTTGAGGTGCTAACGTTCTTAGAGGATTGAGCCATTCATGAATTCATAGAAGATGAGAATATTGAGTTAAACCCTAAGTGGAACAAGTAGGCAAACAGAGCTGTTACCTTGAAGGACACATCATCTCTCAAATGTCTTGCTCGTTTTAATTTGCTTTCTGACAGCAAGAAGTGGGCAATTGCCTCTACTTTCCTACCAAGATATTCTAGACCCATGGACTAAAATCTCGGAGACGCTGAGCCAAAATGCATCTTTCTTCCTTTAAGTTGTTTTGATCAGGTATTTTGTTACCAAGATGGAGAGTTCTCTGACATAAAGGTGTAGAGAGATTTAGCCATGTTTACTACCAAGCACTGCAGCTCTCATCAATCTGTTTCCACGCTCACTGGGTTGCATTGCAGCTGAAAAAAAACCCCCTAAATTAATGAGAAACTGCAAACAAATGAAAACAATCTGGACAATACTGAAGATGTCATTTTTATTATTTTGATCAAGAAACAAATTGGATGTCTGGGCGGGATAGTTCTTCACTATGACAACCACCCTTGACAAAAATTTTATGACAACATGAACAAAGCTCTGAATGTCTTCTGCCTAGATTAGAAGAACTATGAGACCCCCCCCCATAGAAGCATCTCCCAACAAATGGCAGAAAGAGTCAGTTAAAATAGAAGAAAAGAAGCTTTTCTTACTTCTCTAAAAATTGTACTAGCTGGACACCTGGTTGGTTGCTTCTGGTTCCTAGTCCTGCCTCACAGAAATATATGTTTCTTTGTTTAATTATTTATTTTAATTTTATGTGTATTGGTGTTTTGTTTGCATGTATTATGTCTGTGTGAGGTTGTCACATCTTGGAGTTACAGACAGGTGTGAGCTGCCATGTGGGTACTGGGAATTGAACATGGGTCCTGTGGAGGAGCAGTCAGTGCTCTTAACCACTAAGACATTTCTTCAGCTCTGGGAACACGTGTTTCTATGTCCCATTTGAAGATGAAACATGTCTGTCTTTGCTTCCTTAATTTAACCCTTTAAATTGACAATCACCCGGCAGAATCAATCAGTTAACTCCTGTATGTTTTGCTCTAAAACAGAAAGTCGATGTCATGATGGAAGTTCAGAAATGGTACAGGATTTCATAGATGTATCCTCTCCTTTCTTTTCCTCTTCCTCTTTCTCTTCTCTCCTCTCTCATTTGATGCTGCTTTTAATTATAAATGTGACTTTTTTTTTACAACTAATGATCTTCTTTCCTTAACTTTCGAATGTGCAGACTGAACAATGTCCTTGTTTGTGGCTAAAGAGACACTATGAAATATTAGCCAACTACTGTAGCTTCATAATTTTCTGAAGGTCAAATGCACTTGTTGGCCACATTGACCGACTACTTAATACAATAATTGCTTACAGAGTTAAATATTGCAGTCTGGCCTCTGTTAGAGAGAGGGCATTCTATTAACCCCATTGCCATGTGCAAACCCAGGATTTCA